TTTGACAAACACACTGTTGTGATGTTTACACTGGTGTTGCTGCTTGTTCTGAGTTCTGATTCACAATCATTACCGCTGTTTACATTTGACAGGCCACTGTTCACATATACAGATTGAAATCATTACATTAATATCATATTGGTGTATTGGTATTTTATTTACTCACACAGACAGATAAAAAATGGTCCATCAGTGCATTTACTGTGTAGAAAAACATTATCATGAATATATTGATGCAGACACACACTCACTAAAATGTAAATACCTCTCACTTAGAGTAGAAAACTGTATCATAATGTACCATCTCTGCAGGAAGAAATACCAATGATAAAATTATACATCATAGACTCTCTCTCACACACACACACACACACACAGAGGGTGGAAGTTAATATAAAAGCAAATCTCCAGACATCATTGCGACTGTATTCCAGGTGGCGGGGCCCTGTTCGTAATGTAATGTGAATATCATCACTCTCATCACTGTGGATGGATCTCTACAGGGGCGTTACAGGATCCGTCTGTGTCATTTGCCCATTTGTGCAGAAAGTATTACCTGACATTAACCATCATCAGCGCCTGGAGGAAACTGGAGGAAAGTTGTTCCCAGTTAGCAGTTATGTAATTTGCAGCTCCTCGTGTGAATGAGAACCAGTTGCAGCAGAAGAAAGAGCATTGAAGGAAGGAGGACAGACAGTTTTTACACAATGGCTCAGTCTCCGGTCATTCAAGCACTTGCTGCGATTTTAGGACGCAGCTGATGACAGGCAGCAAAGTGAAATCCTCTAAACCTCTTGTAAAATTGCTTTGAAACACAGCCTGTGGATTTTACTTCAATAAAAAATAAAGACAGAGAAGAACATTCGGATAAAAGTGGCTGAGGTCACACACGTCCTCGTCCAGATCTTGTTCCGACGTCCTCCTGGATCCACTTCCTTCACGTATATTTCATAATGTTCAAGTATCACAAGTTTGGACAACAATCTGTCTATTTACTGAGAGAGGGATCTCTCCTCTCTGGCTTTTCCTGAGGCGTTTATTTCCCTGTTAAAATGTCTAAAATTACCCACAATGCAACATAAACTACGGTATTTTACTGTAATTCAGAAATATGGTATTTTACTGTAGGTTTTTGTAGTCCTCATTGCTTGTAATAGGCACAACTTGCTTACATTTTTGGCATCTGTTCTAGTTTTAAGGCCCATTACTGTCTTTCAGTGGTTGATTTTTATGCTGTTTTTTAAAGAATTCTAGCCAAGATTTCTTTCTCAATACAAGAAAATGTGATTATATGTAAGAATATTTGTTAATATTTGTTTCTAGAAGGGCTGATTTTGCAGTGCAGTACGGATAGTACAGCCAATGATCAGAGCTTTTCTGCTTTTTTTTTAACTGTATCACTTATAAATTATCATTTTAATGATGGAAATAGAGGTATTTCAGGTAATGTGAAGCACCTCTGGCAACCATGTTAGAGTTTGGCACACATACCCTTAAATGGCATTAATATTCATGTTCTATAGGATTCTGATGCATTTTTTACATGCATTGACCTACAATAAGTGTTGGACCAGTGGGAATTTAAACACCATCGACTGGTCCCAGCTTATAATGGCCTATAAACAACCAATCAGAATTCAGTATCTGTTGGGTTTTTTCTCTCCAGACTGTGGAGGCGCTCGGCTGTCAGTCACATTTAAATGACAGAAATTGCCAATATTTCCTCCTCCTCACCATTATTTTTCTTCCTCATTCATACATTTTTCCCTCCTCTCTCTTCACTGTTTTGTTAAAGTGTGAAACATACAGCGCTACCAGAAATATTAAGTTTTTATAGACGCTGAAGTTTGATGGACAGTTAATTCAGAGGGACCAGATTGCCATTTTAAGGTGATTTCTGTCATTATTTTTACTGCCTGCGGAGGTGTCACTCACATTGTCACAGTTTCATAATAAAATAAAACCTTTTCTTAAATACTTTAATATATCTGATAAAAAAAACAATGATTTCTAATTGTAATGAGGGGATTTCATACAGTAATAGTTATATTTAACACACAAAGTTAACTACCTTATCTCCAACTAACCTTGTTTGTGAATGCTCTAATCAGACCGTACACTCCGTCGTGTATTTAATCTTATTATGATTACAGTCTTTAAGCCCGTAAGCGCCTGATTGAGGTGCGCTGATGTGCAGAAAATGATCAGCTCTCACCCTATGATATTATTTCTCACCCCGAGGGGGGGAAAATTATTGGATGTGGAAAATAAAGAATACTGTCTTACGTGCTTTTATGTCTGACACTAATGCAGCTTCTCATATATGATGATTGACATCGATGCCGCAGTGTCCCAGCAGCAAACTGCAGTGAAATATTGTAGTTAGATTATCTATAGAAAATATTAAATGCATTAAAAATAGTATTTTAATTATTGGTGATATAATTACTGTTTGTTCCACTGACTCGTTATAAAGTTTACTTTATATCATCACACACATGTAAGACCCATTTTAATAATCAATTAATTGTAAATTGTTTTGACAGGTAATGTAATAATTTGCTTTAGTGGTAACATTTGTATAAAAAAGATGCACTTAAGTAACTTAATTCAGATAAATAACACATTTTAAATAAGTTAAGAGAAATGCTGCATATGAGTGTAACATACTAGTTTTAAGTTCAATTAACTCAATTAAATTGGTACAATTAATTTATTCAAGTTACTTTAACAATATTTAGTTGCTTGTACCCAAATCAAATATTTTATAATGTTTAATAGTTGGAGGTAATAAATTCAAACAGTTTTAATCAGTTTCTTCAAACAATTTGAGTTGAACTTAAAATGTAGTTTAATGGGCGTCTGTACTTAATCAATAGATACATTTACATACACATCAACTCTGTCTATAAAGTCATCAGTGGCCCTCGCTTCAAAATATGACGCTGTGTCCCTCAAGTCAGGTGACGTAGTATAAAGAGCAGGAACTTCCTTATATGGAGGTGGTGTTGGATGGGTCGCTCAGACAAACCTTTTAAATAACATCAACTTACGTCAGCTATGTGACGTAATCTTTTCCTAATACAAACCAATGAGTGACGTGGTTGCCTGGCAGCAGCTGATTGGACAGGACTCTTAATTGCTGCATTGAAACCAACACCTCGTTAAGACAGCAGGGAACTGTAGCAGTAAGAGACACAGACAGTTGGAGTCTGTGTAGCAAATATTCCTGAGTTTAATGATGCCATGTGCATTTATTTATGTTATAAAAGTTCATTTTATAAGATAAAAGACTATTTATGTGTGGAGATGTCCAGACCTTTAGAGTACTCAGGGTCTCATGTTTAGGATGGGAGTAATCCTTTTTTCCCCCCTACTTCTCCTCTGAGAACACCTCAGGACAGCTCAACATCCTGATCAGGACGTCTGCTGACAGCAATTAGTTGAGATTGGACTGTTTGAACATTGAGACCATCAATCAGCGAGGAACAAAAAAAGACCAAACAAGAATCAGAACAAGTTAAAAACGAAAGAATGGAATTAGCAACAAACTCCAGATCGAGGGACTGAAAGCAGGAAGGAAGTGGAGGTGGAGAGTCTGGGGGGGAGAGGGGGAGAATAAAGGCAGACACTGTTGGATTAAACTGGTGAATGTTAAATTTAATTGCGTTAAGCTCCATTAAGTTGCCAGGAAGAAAGGAAGCGAGGAGCTCTCGGGAAGAAAAAGACTTTCTCCCCCAGTTTCCCGCTCTTTCCTCTATCCCTCTCAATTAAATAGGTAGTTAATGACTTGAGCTTTTATTGGCAAAAACACTGTTGGGGAGGAAGGAGGGTGAACATGGACGGATGAACACATGCAAATACACAGTGGAAGAACCAGAGAAGAAGAAAGCGGACCTGGGTTGTATTTGTGGAGGGTTGTCAGCGTTAATTAGAAGCATTTAGAGCTGTTAGAGTTTAAATTTTAAGGTTAGAAAAAGGCTCTTCGTGGGGGAGAAAGGAACATAGCTGCCATCAGAGTTTTACTATTCGATTAGAGTTAAAATAAGCAATATGCTAATGTAGCTGATGAAGGTAGACCCGCCCTAAAGGAGCTGTCAATCACAAGGTAGCCCCGCCCTAAAGCATACCCTGCTTTATGGTCTGTTTGACTCTAAATGGGACCATCAGTTACTAAATGAACATCATGCTGTATGGAAGAAGACTGAAACTAGAGACTGAGACCAGAAACTCATCAGGAAACTGTTTACGAGCTCATAACCAACTGAGAGTTGGCTCATTTTTCCATAAGACTGGAAATGGTATCAGTGTGTTATTTGCAGCCAGTGGAGCTCCCCCTGCTCGACATTACACAGAATGCAGGTTTTTTGGTATCCAATAACTATGAGAAAGTGATTAACCTCATTTAGATACATCTGTAAAAGACAAGAATGAAACGTGTGTATATGAGCTCTTAATTTGAAAGTCAGTGCAGTTTCCTTTGTTCTCAGTTTTAATTTCTGAGCATTCAGACAATGACACATCAGTTTGTGAAGTGTATCCTGTTGGGGATTTTTCATTTTCCAAAAACTTCCACATATTTGCTTGTTCATGGGCGTATTTTAAAATCCCTCCAGAAGCAGCGCATTATTTATACATTCACAGATTATAAATTTAAAATCTCATTTTGTGCGAGTGTGAAGTCGTGAATTTGACTTGATGTGGCACTAAACAGTTTGCCGAACTCTGCCGTAATCCCCGTCAAGCAGCGGCGTTTGAAGAACTGGCTCAATCTGGACTTTAAAAATGGGGGCTTCAGATTCACACAAGCTGACAGTCGCCTCCATTTACCACAAATTCTCCTTTTGATGTGAGATTCATGTTACACTGCTGATGAGTCAACAGCATCACAGGCTGATGCCAGCTCACTTTTCCACTGTGTTTGATGCTGTGTCTTTGGTCTTTTCCGTTGTGTTTTCACTGGGGATGATTTGTTCTGTTTGAGACGGTGATGTTTAAGGTTTTTTGGGGATTTTTTTAACTGAACAAAAACGAGCGGAAAAGGCCTGTCAGCGGCACAAAGTGGTTCTTGTTTCCTGTTTTATCACCTTTATTTCTGCTGTGAAATAATCTTTTTAAAAGCTTTTTAAAGGCTGTCAGTGATGTTGAAAGTGATGTTTCTCTCCCTGGTTGTTTTTAATCTCTTATCAAATCTCAACCTTTCCTTTCCGCTCTTCTTCATCTCTCATCCTCTGACTGATTTTTCTCCATCAATCTCCTCTCTAACTCTTGTTTCTCATCTTTGTCCCCTTTCTCTCGCCTCTCTCTTTCTCTCTCTCTCCAGGTAATGACTTGTTCCTGGTGGCGGTCCACGAGTTGGGTCACGCGTTGGGTTTGGAGCACTCAAACGATCCCAGCGCCATCATGGCTCCTTTCTACCAGTACATGGACACGCACAACTTCAAACTGCCTCTGGACGACCTGCAGGGCATACAGAAGATCTACGGTGAGCAGAAGTTAGTGCCCTACTTGTGCCACCCGAGTCCAAACAGTGTGGACACGCTTTTGCTGGCCAAGAGGCAGTGACAGGAGGCAATAGAACAATGAATACATGGATTGAGCTAGTGCAAAAAACAGCGCAATATATACAGTTTATGCACAACAGAGAGATCTGAGTGCTAATTCAACAGCAGCTGCAGTGATCAGAAACTAATAATGAACCAGTAAAGCAAGGACCGGCTAATCAATCTTTTTTTTTAAAGCAAAATGCTTGACTTTGTGTCTTCTTCCTTTGTGTTTACACCGGGGACACTTTGTTCCATTTCAGAGAAGCTGCCTCACATCTCAGTAAACTCTTTTTTTTTTTTAAACAAAGAACAGCGAAGGCCTGTCAGACGCAGACACATTTCCTGACAGGCTTTCTGTATCCCCTGAAAGAATCATTACAGCTTCTGTTGTAATGCAGAGTAATATTTATTTGTGATGCAAAGACACAAAGAATCTCAAAAAGAAAAGAATCTCAAGCTAACATGTCAAATAATGTGCTAGTGATTTCCATCCAAATCACATTTGAACATTGAATATTTCATCCTCGCTGCTCCACAAACACCCAGATAACCTCCGGTATCCGTAATACTGGCTCGCTGGATGCTTTTGTTCTGTTCTTACACGGTTTCCTTTTGGGCTTCAAAGCAGGACAGTTATCTTTTTCCTTCAGAACAAAAAAAAAAGATCTTAACATTAAAGGTCATGATACACGGGTAACATTTTGAGTCCGCGTTGAAGGGAAATACAGGCCAAAGCAGTGTGTTCAACAGTATTTTTCCACTGCACTTGTGTTCAGTGTGGATAACAAAGCCCTGTTATTGTATCTGCTGAGAGTTGATCCTGTTTGCCTCACTGCTCTGCTTCTGCACCTGAAAATACCAACCGTCCACTCTCAGTTGGTTTCATTTCAGAATGAGGCAGTTGGTGCTGCAGTTTATTCTACAAAATGGATCTTCAGCTGAAAAAGAAGCAACATTTATGAGCGTAGACGTATTCTTTTTTTCTTTTAAATATTAAGTTGTGAATACTCTTTCAGATTTTAGTTTCAGCTGGAAACATGAATGAATCACTTTTTTGTGTCAGAGGATCTAACATACAGACGTCTGCACAGCTAAAACCATGAGTCAGTGGGCCTCATGCAGGAAGATTGTTATACTCTTATCTTTGGGTTCGTCTGAGTGTGCCGTCACATTCAGCAAACGCTCCTAACTTCAGATTTCTGTGTAAACCACCTGTGGAAAAATGATGAATGCCACCATCAATGTGTGATGGTTCATGAGAATTGAAACTTTACATAACTAACATTTTCATTTCACCTGGAATTTAAGAACAATGAGTACAAGTGGTTCTTGCATGAGGAGTCTCAAAAATACTGTACTGTCTCATAAACCAATTGAAACCAAATAGAAATCAATCACCGCACTGGAATAATTCAAGTGATATTGATGTCTTTCTCCAGGCATTCCCACGGCCATGCTGGAACCCACCAGGCCGTTGCCTACCTTACCTTCTCGACGGCCCCACTCCACTTCCGAACGCAAGCACTCCCGACCGGCACGCCCGCCCGGTGACCGGCCCGCTCTGCCCGGGAACGGAAAACCTAACATATGTGACGGCAACTTCAACACTGTGGCCTTCTTCAGACGGGAGATGTTCGTCTTCAAGGTGAGTAACAAAACAAACATACATATATTGGCGGCAGTGGGCTTCCATAATATTGTGATGCAGATGCACTGTTTGAGAACAGGATGCTGTTCTGTGTGTAATTAACGGGTGTGAGCTGCTACAGAGGGGGAGTCATACGGCCCTGAGTTGCTGGGGGATTTAGATAAAGCTTAACTGAACATTAAGCGGGGAGGAGGCAGGACCTGAGTGAGGTACGGTCGCTCCAGCACTGGCAGCACTACGGGTTCGATTCCCACTGGGGCTGGCCATGCTAAAAATGTGCGCTCTCATAGTGCTGCAGATGAAAGAATGAGCCCAGTGGCATATGGCAGCACCAGGCCTGTTATTACCGACAGTACACACAGCAGAGCTTCACATAAAAACTGTTCCAATGGACTCAGACGGAGAATCGAGGGCCAATGTTTGAAATATTATACATGTATGCATGTGAGAGAGAGAGAGAGAGAGAGAGGGCAAGAAGAGGAAGAAAAATCCATTTTGATGTCTCTGATCTTTAAACTGAATGTTAGAAAAGGTCACAGACCCGTCTAGCTCTCCGTCTGTCCGCCTTCCTGCCTGTCGGTGTGTGTCTTTCTCTTTTCCATCTGCTCACCCGTCCACACCTGTCTGTCTCCTCTCTGTCTGCCAAACTATCTCATTTCCCTCCTTGCCTACCTGTCTTCTCGTCTGTCTGTCTCACTCTGATTAACTCTGTTTTACTTTGTGCGTCTTTTTTACTATGTATCACTGTGTTTCTTACTCAATCAGTCTATATAAACTATAAAAAATGTCTAAAAACTGGATGTGGAAAAGAGAAACACAATGATTTTGTTTCTGACGTCGGTCACGTAAATGGTGTCTGTCCAAATTAAAGCAGCTGCTGCACAGAAAAGAGTCTTCAGTCTTGATCCTAGTTGTAGTCACATAAGTTGATGCACCTTTCAAGCACTAATTGTAGCATTGGTGGTTCGATCTTCCTGACCCCAATGCTCCATCATCAGTGTGAAAATGATACTCTCAGTTAATCAAACACGCTGTACCCTGTGGTACACGTCTGCTATGCGTTAAATATCACGAATAAAGCAGAATAAAATGCCACAATACAAGCAGACCATTGTAAGCTTGAATGTCTGCATTTAGTGGAACATTAACTAAGTGAATCATTAAATCTATGGAGCACCTGCTCCAGCTGCACTGGGACTAAATGAGATATAGGTGCAGATATTTTAGGCTCAGGTGTACGTATACATACATATATATATTTATATATACAAACACTGCATATACATTTTATGTGGATCAGCTCTTTCAAACTGGGTCATCGCCCTCAGCAGCATGCAGGTGTGTGTTTGGGTGTTGAACAGTAAGAAGTAGTGACGGTATATTTCTGTGTGATCATCATGATCAATCAGTCGGCTGTGTCTTATTGACACTAGCTGCGTCCTACGGTAGTAGTGTTTAAACTCCCCCTGCTGGTAGAGTCAGCTAATAGGACCGCTAACTAGCTATTGGCAGCAGTTAGTTAGTTAGTTTCCAGTGTTACAGGAGAAAAGGTCCGTGTTGCAACAGTCCTCTGATACTTTGGTCCCAGGGACAAGGCGCAGGTGCTGACCACAGTTTGATGTTAATTTATCTTTTTCTGTGACTATAAAAACTCGACTGAAACTCTTCACATCGACTAACTAAGTTTAGGGGATTTTCTCACATGATGCTGTTCTCTGTTTGAACTCGGCTGCAGAGGCTGACAGGCAGATTAAAAAAGTCAGATACAACCACGGCTTCATTGGAGCTCTTGGTTTAATTTTCCAAACAATCCTTCGGAGGGGTGGAGTGGCGGTGTCGTGCACTGAAGGAGTTTTATCTCTCTGAAAGAAACACAACAGTCTTTCTAGAACGCATCATCATCATCATCGATCAGAGAAACAAGGCCGATTCTCTCCTCTCCTTTAACTCTAGGATGGGGGCATATTAAGACATAAAGAGCGCTGAGAGCCAGTGGGCGTTTGAAAGGAGACACTCATTATGGGATGTTTCCTTGGTGAGAAACACTCATGGTTTCTCTCGCTGGATGTGAAGCATTGATTTTCTTTTTTTTCTGTTTGGGTTCACACAGAAAAGCATTAGCGGCCAATGGATGATGTCGGATCATATGAGATGGAGTGTGTGTGTGTGTGTGTGTGTTTGTGTGTGTGTGTGGGGAGCACTCAGTGGGGACTGTGCTTGGCTGTGTCCTAGATTCACCAAAGCCAAATGATAATGAGCTAAGATTGATGCTCGCCTTCTTCTCCTCCTCTTCTTCCTCCCTCTTTCTTGTCTTTTTACACCCCCCCACGCCCTCCACTTCCTCTGCTTCCTCGACTTATCTCACATCACCTCGCTTTGTCTTATCTTTGTCTTTTGTCTTCTTCCTCTTTCTTCATCTTCCTTATCCCAACCCTCTTCTTTTCCCCACGTTATTCCATCAGCTCCATGATACCTTCCGGGTATTCATTTCACTGACGTCTGTGAGAGATAGCGGTACGCTACAGGTATCTTCTTCTTTTCTTAGAGATCTGTAGGGAGTAAATTACATACCAAACACCCCACGGAGTGAACCACTCAACAGTCAGATGGTTCCCGTAGAAAAGCGGCTGCATGTTACCAGAGGTGGGGCGATTAACCAGACGTGCATTAGTCAAACCCAGTTAGTCCTCTTTTCCCTTGTAAAACAGAAAATTGCTGTTTGAAACACTTCCAGTAAAGCATAAATCTCACGTTTGCCTCGTTGTGTTGCGGCAAACCATCATGGGAGGGCGGGAACATCGTCCGGTTGGTGAGTTTTTGTACTCAGCAGCCACAAGGGGCATCACTGAGCCCATTCCACACTTCGACAAGCAACACAAGAAGTTTCAACTTTCTGCCGCAGCTCCCATATGAATGGGGGACCTGGTGTTTTCAGCTCAACTCCTGATTTGGTCTGAATACTGGTTGGTTTGTCAAATGTGCATCTGGTTAACCCCCTCATGGTGATGTTTATTGAAAGCTCTAATATGTAACATTTCTGCTTTAAACAGTGTATAAACTCTAGACTTGTGTTCGTTATGTAGTTGTTGGTTGTCTGCCAGAAGCTGTCATACATTGACTGTTTATCCAGTCTGAAGCCACATGTTTACCATCCACTGTTTAGATCTTGGTGCTTTTTAACTCACTTTAGATTTTGAACCGGATGAAAGGATTTTAGCTCATGGCGTCTGGCATCCTTAAAGTTAATCAGCAGAACAAAGCGTGCAAGCTAAGCGTTTAGCAGCAGCCTCGGCTCCGCAGCCCCTCCGGGACGCCTTTCTGTCTGTCCAAACCAGCGTGGGAAAAGAAAGCAAGTGATTGTTAAGGTGGAACTGCCTTTCCCGTGTGTTTAGTTGTTTCTAATCAGCCAAGGTCTGTTTTGTTTTGGAGAGG